CCCCGGTCTTTCTTCTGTTCGTTGGTGGAGACAGCTCACTGTGGCAGTGGGGAAGCAGGTGCACCAGCCCTGCTCCCACCGCTTAGAACCACCGGGGGCTTGGTAGGTGCTCCAGGAGGGAGAGCCACCGATCTTACTGCAGGGCCCTGGGTGGCGCAAATCGCTTGTGCCGGACGACTCACCCAGGGTGGAAGAAAGGCCTGGCCACCTACTATTTCTGTTAAGATCGCAGCCCAGAAGCCACCCAGCCCTCTGAGCAGCACTGCAGCACAACACAGGGCCACAGGGAGTCAGAATCAAGTGAGTATGGTAGGGAGTCATCATGAGGGGTCCCCTTCGGTCTCCCAGGAAACGGATGAGCCAGGTGATGGGAATTTGTTGGGAATTGTGCATTCCTCTCTCCCCGGCCCCTCCCAGGCCCCCTGAGCCAGCATCTCCTGGCATAGGGCCAGGCAATGGGTTTAATGAGCTCCTGGTCAATGCAAGCCAAACCTGATGCGTCAAGTCCATTCCAGACAGAGGAGAAGTGCCCGGTGGGATGTTCAGGACAGACATACCTTGCTCCTTCCAACAGGCGGGTGGGTTCAAACCACCGACCTTACGGGGAACAGCCAATGGCCTTATCACTATGTCCCAAGGGGGTCCTGGTCCTCTCCTGCATTACCCACTGTCCTCAAACTCTCACTGCTATAGAGTCAAATCTGACTCAGAGCAACCCTATTGGACAGGGTAGAACGGGCCCTTGTAGGTTTCCAAGACTGTAACTCTTTACGGGAGTAGAAAGGCTTATCTTTCTTCCACTGAGCAGCTGGTGGTTTCGAACTTCCAATCTTGTGCTTGGAACCTAACCTAACCACTATGCCACCAAGGCTCCTTAACCCACTGCCTCAGGAAGCAATTATGGATTCTCAATGGACAGTAGAAGCCGCTGACACCAAACGTGTTGAAATCTCTTACCTAAACTACAAAACTAACAAACTCTAGGAGGCCTGGTAGAGCTTGATCAAGGGCAATGTAACTGAGAGGAATTAGTGAAACCCACATGAAGGCTGAGCATGATAGTGGGACAAGAGGAAAGTAAAAGGAAATAGAGGAAAGAACTAGGAGGCAAAGGGCATTTATGGAAGTCTAAA